CCACACTGCAAGGGTGGGAGCAGGGACGTCCACACTGCAAGGGTGGGAGCAGGGACGTCCACACTGCAAGGGTGGGAGCAGGGACGTCCACACTGAGACAGCAGGACACTCCCTGAGGGACGGGCTCTTCCGGGCTCTCTCTGAGACAATCCTTCATTGTTGGCCTCCATGCGAAGCAGCTGGCTTCCTGCCCGCTCACCTGTGTGTGGTCACCAGGTATGCAAATTGGGGTGTACCAGGCGCTGCTGTGGCCACCCAGATCCCGCCACCGGGTGTCTGTCCCATAAATAGCTTTGAGTCTCACCTTCGAGAAGTGAAAGCCCCTTCCACTCACCCACTCAGAGGAAGAGACAGCAGGATGGATGTAGGAGGCCAGAGAAAGGAGCTGCCTGGAGAGTCCCCGGGCCATGGGGGGAAAGACCGAGGGTCATGAGGGTGGGGCAGGGGAGGGGACGGCCCACGACTCAGCAGTGGTGCAGTGGCTCCGGCAGGGGCTGCTGTGTTGGTGTGGGACATGTCACAGTGGTGTGGGCTGTGCCTGGCAGCCTCCGAGCCATCAGGTGCGGTGAGAATCTACTGGTTGGAGCATAACGGGAAAAAGAAATGAACCCTGTGATTCTTCCCCTGCTTCCAAGCTCCCTGTGGCGTTCAGGATGGAGACTATGAGCGCCCCTAATGTGGCCTTTGCTCGGCCAGAGCTGCTGCAGCCAGACTATCCCACAGGGAGCCAGGCAGCCGAGAACCAGGGGCCAACACTCAAGGCTTAAAGTATTACTCTTGGCAATCCTGCATCCTTCCTACCTGCCCTGCTTTGCAGATGGCCTCCAACTGGAAAGTGAGCACACGCATGAGGCCCTGCGTGCGCGAGCACTGCGGACGTCAGTGAGCAGAGACAGGGTGTGCGTGTCACGGCTGCTTCAGGCCTTTATTGACACTGGATCCCAGTTCTCACAGACTGGGCTATGGGGAGCCACCCACACGGGGCCATTGGCTTCTCACAGTGCAGCTGTCTGGGGCTCGTGAGGAGGAGGGTAGGGGAGGAGGGGG